CCCCCACAATTTTTTTTAGTTCAGATTTCTTTCTTTTGCAGTTTTAGAACAGAATGTGTTACTGCTGCTCAACTCTTGATGAATACAAAAAGCCCACAATGGGCGTTTATTTGATCTAACACATGATTAATGTGGCGAATTGCATGTAGTCCCAACCTTTTAAATCTCTGTGAAGAATTACATTTCTGTCCACAGGCATGTCACTGTTAAAAAATGAGCCACCTAATAAAAGAACACACAGTATATTAATATGTAATTTCTTTCCCAGTATGAATGCTAATTACTGACAGAGCAGACCTTATGCTTGGTCCTTGATATGGATAGACTTTCCAGCTATCTTTGTTGGTGTCATCAGTCTTACTACTCCATTCACCCACATTTTCATTTTAAAAACTTCTGAAGATAAGCAGGGGAGCTATTTAGTGGTTTTCTAAATCTAACATGATTTAGCTTAAAAACCTGGACGGGGGGAGGGGTAAGTATTTTCTAACTTACTTCCAGAAATCAATTTGGTTTGCATGAAAAGGAATGTCATTATGTTAAATAATTTCCCCCTTGAAAGTACTTTCTCTGTTGCTTTCTGGCAGTCTCATTAACCTGTAAAGATAATTCAGTTGCCTAACATTTTTTTTTCTTTTTAGCTTCCAATTGAGCATTAGTAAATGTGAGGTTTCTGCAAAATATAGGAGCTTCAAATGTTCTTTCAATTGTTGTTTTTTGGTTTAGGTTTTTCAGGGTTTTTTTGTTTTGTTTTGTTTTTTGTTTTTTTTTTTCTGGGATCTGGTTGGAGGGAATAATTATCACATACAGCCTTCATTGTGTAACCCAACCATAGATCTCTCTTTCTTCTTCAAGTCCTTATATTTACTCCACAATCAGTATTCCACAAATTATCATACCTTACTAGGAAGAGCTCTTAATAACCTATTAATCCTCAAAATCAAACTCTTGGCCACTTAGTCCTTCAAACTATTCGACATCAAAAGTATATCTAAAGCTCCTTGAGGAGACTTACTTTTTTAAAAAAATTGTATTAAGTTCATCTGTACTCCCTCAGTGCCTAGCATAGTGTCTGAGATTTATAGAAAGCTCTAGTTATCTTAGCCATTATCTTATCCAGCACTGAACTTTATTCAGAAATGCTTATGATCAAGTATATGACAATCAGTTTGATGACTGCTCAAATTAAACCAGTTGTCCATTGGAAGTGGCTTAAAAATCTAACTTTGTACTGCTTTGATTAACATATGCCTCTGGAGGACAGGGAGTTCAGCTGACCTCATCTGTTTCTAAGATTGAGAAAAGTGACACCTTGTCTTTTAATAACTAAAATTTTAAGTTAATGGGATCAGAGTTCAGCAAATGTTATCAGAATTTTTTTATGGGTCAAAAAAGAAGAAAACCCATTACAAGGATGCCTACAATTTAAAGCCATACCAGTGAAGAAGAAAAAGACACAACACGATGCCTGGAAGCTGAAAAGCCATCTACCACGCCTAGTGTAAGGCCATTCAATGACATTGCTTGATAAATGGTAAGACGCTGGGAGTAGAAGAAAAGCAAAGTCTGTAAACTAAGAAACCTGCCTTGAGTAACTTCACCTTCAAAACATACAAGTAAAAAATTAAGCTCTTGAAAATTTCCATAGCAAGAGATATTAAAAGACATTTATTAATTGAAGTTATTCTGTTTGTTTAGCTCCACTCAAAGTCCTCTCAGTTCCCCAGGCTGCCACCCCAGGTTATAGGACAGTGTTGGACATACAATGAACATTCGTGTAAAGATCTGTTGTTGAATGAATGTGCCTGTGCTTAGGTAACTACGCTTGCACTTTTCATCTGTTAGCTTAGATGATGTACAAATTGCAGCCCTTAAAAATATTCAAGGCTACTAGCCTTACCTTGATCATAAACTGTGATAGGAAAGTACATAAATGTAGATATAACCTATCAAAAGTTGAGAGCTGGTTTCAGGGCTGGTTATTCATGTGTTTCTGTTTTGTTTTAATATTCTCAGGCAGTAGTTCAACTTCCAAGGGAACTCTTAGCCTCCAAGATTTCCTGCTCTCTGTGTTCTTGCTTTTCCTGTGAGGCCTCATTGTGAGAATTTTTCTGGGCCCTTGCGAGCACTTGAAACATGATTGAGATTCCTCCCAGATTTATTTCCACTGTATTCTGTAATAACCCCTTCTCACCTCCCATTCTTGGGAGTTACATGAGTGACTCTTTTCCTTGAAACCCAAAATTTATCACCAACATACATAGAGAAGGCTTTATGTCTTTAATTCAGATATGCTAAAAAATAAGATAGTGGCCGGGCACAGTGGCTTATCCCTGTAATCCTAGCACTTTGGGAGCCCGAGGCAGGCAGATTTCCTGAGCTCAGGAGTTCTAGACCAGCCTGGGCAACACGGTGAAACACCATCTCTACTAAAATACAAAAAATTAGCTGGTGTGGCAGCAGCCACCTGTAGTCCCAGCTACTGGGGAGGCTGAGGCAGGAGTATCGCTTGAACCTGGGAGGCGGAAGTTGCAGTGAGCCGAGATTGCTCCAGTACACTCCAGCCTGGCAACAGAGCAAGACTCCATCTCCAAAATAATAATAAAAAGAAGAAGATAGTGTTTGATATTAACAATTAGTGTTCTGCCTTCTTTTATACAACGTGGGCATCTTTTGATAAACATTGGCAGCTGAAAATATTTGATTCTTAAACTTCAATAGTTCACCAAGTAACAAACAGCTACTGATGACTTCAGAATGTATGTACATAATACACATCCACATAATATAATAAAATCCTCCCCAAAATTATCTGCTTGCTATAATGTCCCAGTAATTAACTTTGTAAACTTTCCCTAACATGCTTTAAAGAATCAAATCACTCTGCACTACTCATCACCCTAGTTTAAATACCAATTGACCCAATTCCCTTATTTATCTTGCTTTATACTCCCACAACAAAGGAATGTTTTATAAAGCAATATCTGTTGATATCTAACTCTAATGCATGAAATCAAGATAAAATGGGAGGAAAGAAAACAATTGTGGAAAGGAAATTGAGAGAAAAATGCATCTGAGCCAGAATGGACCTTTTGTAATGGCTGGTTCCATTTCATCATTTTGCCATTTTATATCTTCTCTTCAATATCAGGCTTTACACACTTTCTTACAGTTTTACAAAGCATGCATGGTTGCCTTCACATTCATAAAGAAAATATTCTACCTGTAAGGACAGCCAAGTTGTCTCCAAAGACCCACGCAGGTTTGTTGTGTTTATTCTTTCAGCAGTAAAAAGAGATAATGTAAAACATCAATGGTCCATTGCTCTTCTAATGCTTCTCTTATTTTTCTAAGTTTGTGCCTGAAACATTTGTCTGTACCATGGCTTGGGTATAGAGTTGAAGTATATGCCTTTTGTAATAGCTTTTTCATTTAATTATTTTATTTGCTGATTTACTGCTTTATGTCTAGTAGTTGTGGTCTAAAAGTGTTTCTAGTCCGTTTATTTTTCCTTGCTAAATCTAAATGTTTGTATATCTTGGCCTGTTTTGAAGTAAAATTCTAATAATATTAAAGATTATATATATTCCATATATACGAGTGTATATGTAGAATCAGATGTGTGTGTGTGTGTGTGTGTGTGTGTGTGTGTGTGTGTGTGTATGCTATGGTTTGGCTGTGTCCCTCCCCAAAATCTCATCTTAAATTATAATTCTCATCATCCCCATAGTCTCCACATGTCAAGGGAGAGACCAGGTAGAGGTAATTGAATCATGGGGCGGTTGCCCCCATGCTGTTCTTCCGATAGTGAGTGATTTCTCACGAGATCTGATGGTTTTATAAGTGTTTGGTAGTTCTTCTGTGTTCATTTTCTTTCCTGCCATGGTGACGGCCTGTAGTCCCAGCTACTCGAGAGGCTGAGGCAGGAGAATCGCTTGAACCCGTACGACTGCACTCCAGCCTGGTGACAGAGTGAGACTCTGTGTCCAAAAAATAATAATAATAAGACAGTGTTTGATCTATCAAGAGGTGTTTTCTGCTATGATTGTTAGCTTCTTGAGGCTTCCTCAGCTATACAGAACTGTGAGTCAATCAAACTACTTTTCTTTATAAATTACCCAGTCTTAGCAGTTGATTGTAGTGTGAGAACAGACCAATACAGTATGTATATATATATATATATATATATATATATATATATATATGTGTGTGTGTGTGTGTGTGTGTGTGTGTGTATGTGTGTGTGTGTATATATATATACATATATGTATATATATACATGTATATATACACACACATATATATGGTTCTATCCATTTGACTTGTTGTCTTTTTATGGGTCATTCCTTCTCACTTTATTTCAAATAATTAAAGCCAAAGTTTTATAAAGGCCTTAGTACATTCTAGTCTTTGTTATTTAGCAGTAGGTTTAACTTATCTACTAAGTTGTGAAGATGCTCAGCATGGGAGAAGATCCAAACACTCAGCTAAAAGTTTTACATCAAAAAACCTAGAAAGATCACTGTATTCTTCCAACAAACAAAATAAGTGTGAATTGCCAAAGAGTAACAGACATTGGTAGTTCACTCAAATCCTGGGAGGCATTCCCAGTGACGGAATTATGCATTGTCCTTTCTTGACCAAATGCTGTAGACATGACTGGACTGTAAGTGCAGGGGGAACCATTATAGCTACAGTTATCAGCTAACCTCTGGTCAACAGACTATGGTCAACCACCTTGTAGTAAGCAGGTGCTTCCTGGCTGCAGGCTCTGACTGCTGACTGCGTGGACACAGCACAACTAGTGGCAACTCTCTGGTGGTCATCCAAATATCTTTTAGAGAGTGGAGGACATTCAGATTGCCAGATTCTCTTGGGCTCTCATGTATTCTCTCAATGTGTTTCAATGACTCAGCTTAGATCCTGAATCATTTTCTAAAACAAAAACATACTGACAGTATTTATGCCATCTAATCTTTCTTAAAAGTATTGGTGGGAAGATCCTTTTGTAATTTATAAGTGTAATGATTTGGTTTTTATGCTCATGTGTGAGATGTGCCTCTCTCAAATTATGTTATGATGTCAGCACATTACCCATCTGATATGAAAATATGTAAGTATCGGTGAGAAGCTCTCCTTTTAGTGATGTTTATTTCACTGTCCAGAGCCCTAAGTCACCATCCAACTGATAACAATTTAACATTTCGAAGACAGGAATGAATCTGGGTTGATTTGTGTATTTGTTTGTTTGTTTGTTGTAACACTACCTATTTTCTATGTCAGTAGCACATTTTTTAACACCTACGAAATGAAACTTCTTGGAATAGGAAAAAAATTACCTCAGATTTCAAAACGAGACCTTTTTTTTTTTGGTTCTTTTCAACAATTGTTTTCTTTCCCTTACAGAGAATTGAGAATAATATCAAGCTTATCTCTTTTATTTGGCTGCTAGAAAGCTCAGAGCCAAATTTGCAGCCTACTTCCAATGAACAATTTCTATTTCAGACCATTATTTATATACGCTACCATTTTCTAGGGCTTTATTTTTCTACTTTATTTTTCTCTTCATTCAGATTTTTTTTTTTTTTTTTTGCTGTTTATCTTATGGTCCTAGCTACTCACACATTTTAAGGTTTTTGTTGTTGCTGTCGATAGGGTAATTATGCACATAGAATCACAAACATATACACATGTGCATACACAATAAGAAAAGTCTCTCAGAGTGTAATCAAATTCTTCTTTTAATGTCCCTGTAGGGTATGACGACACTTAAGTACAGAGTGACACACCAAGACAAGAATGTGTGCTCATGTCTTCTGGCAGTGTAATTATGTGAAAGAATATTATAGGATATAACAAGCCTTTTGACAGCACCGAGATCTCACCTGCAGAAATATAAATCACTGCATGCTCTTGGCTTATCTCTTTTCAACTAGTCACCACAATCCTGAGTGATTTCAGATTTCCCTAAACAATCAGTAGTCCTAATAAAAAGAAAGATTAAAAAGGGAAGAGAAATGAGGAGGGGGCACTGAGACTAATAAACACAAACACTAATTGCCCGAGAAGTGACCTCCTATTGACAAACATCACGATGAGCGAATTTTTCACTTCTCTGATATCTCTGTGTTAGGGTCCCCTAAGGTGTTCGTTTGTCGTGCTTTCTCTTTTTAAACGGGCTAAAAGAGTATTTTGTTTTTCTGGCTTTAAGTCTTTTTTTTCCCCTGCTGGCATAATATGGTGATGCTTTTGAGTACACTTTCTTCCTCTTCCCTCAAGTGACAGTGATTAATTCCTCCTGCCCTGAAACCATTATTACAACAAATCACCCAGCATCACCAATTCGGAAAGCATATTCCAGTCATCTTCCTAGGGAGTTAATGCAGCTGGAAACAGGTCCACTAAATTGGGTGACTGTCCCTGGAAAACAGTGAAGGACTGAACAGTCACTGCCATTGGTATCACTTCTCTGACAGTGGTAATTTTTACTTTGGTTCTGCATGTCAGCTGGTGTGCCCCACAACCACATGACAATGAAATAATGAGATGGCAACTTCTCCTCTGCCCAACCTGTGGCCCAAGCCCTGTCTCTGGGAATCCTGCCAGGTACCTTTACTTGCAGCTGCCTACTTCATGCCAAGGAAGAGCGAGAAGTGCTTGTCTTTTCACTACAAAATGCATTGCTTTCTCTTTGCTGCACAAGTTGGGAAGATTTTACTAGGAATAATGCAATATGCCATAGGGTGAAACTTCAGATGAAGGGGCTGAATAAATGTTTTCAAGAGTTTCTACCCTAAGGTTTTAAAAATGTGTTCTGTAGGAGGGAGGAGAAACGATGGGGAATTGTGTTGATAAGTTAATAACTTAAAGCAGTTTACAGACAGTCAACATTCTTTCTCCAAGGTCTTAACTAACTCCAACATTGTGCCACTAAAACTTGTTTAAATACTGAAAGCAACATTTTGTTTTTCCTGCTCAAAACTGCAGCCCATATTTTTTTGTTAAAGTGTATTTAGAATCATAATGCAGCTTCCTGAAGAAAGTAATCTGTCAAGAACTTCAGCCAGGCTTCTGAGAAGGAAACAGAGAATCAATGTACACAGTTCCTAAGAGGCAAGTAGGAATTAGGGAAAGGTCAGACTGGCCCTGAAATACTCAGAAGAACATCAGTTCCTTATTTTGAATGTAAGATAATGTTTATCTCCTATAATTTATCTATCATAATTCCTTGTTTATATTGTGGCAAACTTAATCGCTTGACTCACTTGGTATGCTTTTCCTTTGACTTTCTTTCATTAGATTCCTGTAAAAGACAAATACTCATGTCATCAGCCTCACTTGCAGATGGGAGTGATCAATTTATACAATTCTGGCCAATAAAACCTAAGCAAAACAACCAGGAACCTTGACAAAAAAGTGGCTGAGAGTAAGGGTGAAGTGAGGTGGGATAAATTGATTTTTTTCCTGATAAGAGAGCAAATGGTCCTGGCCTGGCCCATTTTTCCCATTTTCCCTTCTTCCTGCATCAAATGAAATCTCCGTGTATGATACCATGGCAGCCATCTTGCAATGGGAAGATGAAGCAACAAGCATGGGATTTAAAGCCACCACATTAAGCATGTTAGAGTGGAAAAGAGGGAAAAAAAACTCTAAATTTCTTGTGACACCACCAAGCAGCCAAAAAATGCCAGAAATGTACAATTCTACACTTTTTGTTATGTTACAAAAATAGATTCTTATTTGCTTAAGACAACTTTAGTTGGATAAGCTGTTAGCTGCAGCCAAAAACTTTCCAAATGAATCCCATAAGCATGGCCAAAGGTTTACACATTTGCAAAAACCAGTCTCACTGTGGATGAAATAGTTTGTCAATGCTCATGAAATTCCAGAAAGCTAGAACTTGAGGAGTAAACAAGTCCTGTTATGCCAAATTCTCATCAGATCAAAGACCTCGAATTGGTAGGGAAAAGCAGAATGTGAACAGCTAGCTCCTTCCGATATTCACTTCCTCCCCTCAGATGAAGCCTCACTGGTTCTGAAGAATTGGAGTAGAAGCGCAAAACTTCTTACAGTATAGCTCACTTAGATTCATAAGTTCTCCATATCCAGGTATCTATAAGGCTACAATGTCTTTCTTGAACTTCAGATTCCAATAAAGATACACCTAAAGTTCTATCTAAAATGCCTAGTACCTACTCATTCTTGTAGAGACTGTGCGTAGTCAGCTACCACGTTATACCATTAGAAATAAGCTCTTTGCTGGAACTATGTAAAACACGGAAATTTTGTATTTGGTCAAAGGAAAACGGTACATATGAGAAAGAAAATCTGGCACTTAGCAGAAAGATTCATTGCTGACATTTTCATTTGATTGTTATGGTGAGAAAATTCACAGCCAGTGGCTGTCAGATCCCAACATACATGAGTTAACATGCTCCAGTAGTTGACAGATGCACTCATTTTTACCTCCGTAAAAGAGAACAAACAGGATAGGGCGAGTGTGCAGGAATGACCAAATCTAATTCTTCTTGACAACATGGTTATAAAGTTTGGGGCAAATGCACATATTAACCCCTAAAGAAACACAGACTTCAAAGAATGGAGAAGAGCCAAAAAGGGCTAAAAGGAATCCTAGAACTACACATTCACCCTTCCTTTCATTCCATTTCAACTTCTGCCTTCCACCTTTGCCAAGTCTTATCAGATGAGTGCTATAAGCAACGTAATTTATGTAAATAGAATCCATTATGCAAATGCTTCCAACTTGCTTGCTGCTTAGAAATTTTGTTCTTTTATGTTTAAGAAACATAGCCATTGTCCCCTGGAATAGACAGATTGGTTATGTTTATGTTCTTAAAGCCTTCTGCTACTGTTCCGGGCTTTGAGGAAATTTTTTTTTTATTTTAAAAAATGTTTTACCTTGCCTCTCACCCCCTTCTGTAAAAATAATCTCTTTGTTTAATCTGTTGGTTTGTACATAGGCTTAATTATTGCAGTAGTGTAATGGAACCTTAGTAAGAAGCGTAGTACAGAGATAAATGCATAGATTATGTCCTCTAACCTACAGAGGTCCTGTTGTTTTGTTGGGTTAGTATAAAACTGAGTAATCCAATTAATTCAGATATCTCTGTGAGCTTTGGTTCCTGCTTTTTTAAGTTATATTTCAAATGTGAACTTGATGAAATTCTTGTTTAGAGCCATAAATAGGGAGGCAGAAAAGTATACGCTCTTTGTGTTCATACTCTCTCTATGCCTTAAAATGGCAAGCCAAATTATAATGAAATATAAGAGACCATGTTCCACTCTACACACGGACTTATTTAAAAAAAAAAAAGGCTCTTTCTGCTAACATAAATTGCATTTTGTAATTTCTTATTTACATGCGTGCACATATATAAAGTATAATAAATGGAAGAGGCAAAAGGCCTAATTCTATGAAAAAGAGTACAAGAGAGTATGTCTTTGTTTTAATAAATAAACATTGCAATAAATAAATTATGAATTAAAATTCTCTTCCCACCCTGAAGAAACACATTTTTCAAGTTGACGAGTCATTGTAACAGAACTGCAAGCTTCAAGTCATTTAAAAAGAGTACCGTTTTAATAGAAGAGAACAAAACATACTAAAACCTCCAATTTGACTGATGTTCTTTATGCTACTTTCTGAGAAACCCAATCCAACCAGCCATGATTTAAGTGCATTCACTGTTAGACTCTCCAAAATAAATCCCCTTTGTTTTCTCTGGACTAAACATTTTACTAAAACATTATGCTTTCAGACGCTGCTCTGTGTTTTTCCAGTTGCTTATAAGTGATATCTGGTGACTTGCTCTAATACTATATGGATGTACAAATTAAAGCTGATTTTACTTTCTAGTATTTTTTCTCAAATATTCAGCAAATATTTACTAAGCACCAACTAAGTGACACACATTGTTCCAGGCTCTGGAATTGCAACAATAACCACCCAAGACAAGGTCTCTTCTCTCATGAAACGTATGGTCTGGTGGAAAGAGACAATAAATACACAAGTGAATGAGATGATTCCAGACAGGGCTAATAACTGAGATGCAAAATGAACAATGAGATTGAGTGAGCAGGGGA